TCTCAAATAAGGTTTAATATATTAAAGGGATAAAATTATAAACCCCCCAAACTGACAAATGATCAGGATGAGACTTGAACGATTTAGGTGTAAAATACTGCTCACTGTAGCTTTAAACCAAGAGTAAAGCAGCGCTCCCCTTGTGCACTGAACACGTTGCTGGGGATACTAATCTCAGAGTATCTAAAACACTCTGGGGGACTGGGGAGATGGCTCAGTGGAATAAGCAGTTCCCTAGCAAGCGCAAGGGTCTGAGTTCAATCCCCAGTTCTGCAAAATAAATAAATAAATAAATAAATAAATAAACAAACAAACCACTTTGGGCGAGCATCTGTTACATACTTCAACTAACAATCCAGCAAAGTCAAATACTTTCTTTCAGAAGGGTAACTCCAAAATCATTCAAAATAAATTATTTGATTTGCTTTCTAGTAAAGTGTCTTCAGTCTTCCCAATGCAGTTCAGGACATCACAATGTCAACTATTCAGCAAGTGTCCTGTGTCCCTCCTATCCCCCCAGTTTACATGATATGTGCAGACACAGCTATCCCTAGTACCTCTACTCATTATGTGGCCTTGAACAAATCATATCCTCTTTCTGGATCCTGGTTTATCCATAAAAAGGATCTTGAGATCTAAGGGTTTCCAAGCTCTTACATCCTGTAATTCTGTTTGCCAAAGGTTACTTAACTAGGCTCACCATCTTTGATCCCATAACCTCAGTATGAAAAATGGCACCAACTAGTTTACATACAATTTTTAGCATTTGTTACAATTCTAACCTGCTACTGCTGGCTTCAACCACTAGTGGTAGATGCACGACTGTCCCATCAGGTAGCCTGTACTACTGGTGGTACAAACAAGATCCAATCACTTTTACTGATCTGTTTACTAAAAAAATAAAAAGCTGCTCTGCTTGACAAAGTAAATACTATTTTAACTTTTTATACCACTAGACAGTTGCGAAAACTGGAATTCAAAAACTTTAGCAACTATTAACGTGTTGTTTGAGAAGGACAATGCCCAAGTGAAGGGTAAAAGAAGCTACAATGGGCAAAAGCAGACATTAAAGAGAAGGCAACTATCAGCACAGAGAAGACAGCATTTTTTTTTTTTTTAAATGAGCGGAATATATTTATTGAGAGAAAGAAAGCTCCTGTCCTGAGAGAGGGACAGGAGGGGGGGCCTGTGCGGGTAGTTTCCCCCCAAAGACAGCATTTTGATACAACAGAAAGACCATTAGCATACCATGAAATTACCAGCAGGATCTGTAATCAACACTAATCCCTCTTTAACACTATCTCCTAACAATGTAACATTTATTACTTCATTTCATTTATGTATTTGGTACAGGGTCTCACTATACAGCTTGGACTCACAGTGATCCTCCTGTTTTCAGCCTCCCCAGCACTGGGATTACAGGCATGCATCACCACGCCTGGACTTGGTCAGCTCAGCGCACGCCAAGGGCAGGGCCAGTACAGCATGCGGGACCAGGAATCAAACCCTGGTCCCTCTCTGTGCTCATCAAAGCAGGAGCTTAGTCTACTGAGCTATCTCACTGGTCCGACAATGTAACATTTAAAATAAATGTACACATATGCAAGCAATTCTTTAAGTTCAAGAATTTCTAGGAAGAAAAATGAATAATCAAGATCTTTATCAAACTATACTATTAACTAGAAACCTTATAGAGAATTTTCAGATCACCACAGCGCTGGTTCAAAATGTTGTACATGTTTTTTACTTGACTTCTCAGGAAATAGCGGTTTAATTTGAAAGAGCTCCAGGATCTTAAGAAATACTGAAATCCAGCTATACAGGCGATGCTCACAAAATGCTACAAGTTGTCCTAAATGCCCAAATGCTTTTACTTCTGTGTACACTTTTCTAAGAGGTGCTATAAAAGAACATGAGGTGGGGCCAGGGAGATGGCTTAGTAGAGTAAACACTTGCCTGGCAAGCACAAGGCCCTGAGTTCAATCCTGGGTTCCACCAAAAGAAAGAAGGAAAGAAAAAAGAACGTGAGGAACTTTTTTTTCAAAATCAAAAGATCAAACTTTTGACACTAAATAGCTTTCTGCCCTGGTATATAAAGTCTTTACTATTTACCCCTCTTCTTTTTTTCTTTAAAACAATTTCTTAAAAAACAAAACAAAACAAAAATCTCTAATGATTGGGAGGTTTTCTTTCAAAGTCTTAGCTTCAGAATCTCATTTGAAGACTGGCAATACATTTTTGTCAGTTTGTAATTCATAAAACTTTTTCAAGCCTTAATATACTTTGATCAATAAAGTACTTAGAAATCTTTGATCTGAATTAAACTCCCTGTGCTCACTCAACAAACAAGCAACCATTCTCACAAATTGAAAAAGACTGACATAAAAAGTTATTGACTGAAAAAGAGACCCTGTCCTCAAAGAATGCACTCTCTACCTTGGTCACTATGTGCACATTAATATATAAAGTTCCAGTCGAAATACAGTTAGCTTAACATGAAACGTCTTCTCTACATTCCTCCAAATTGAACTGCTGGAACTGTTAAGGACTTAACTTCCTATAATTAAATACTACAAGAGTAAATGACTGTCACAACAACTTCAACTGATTTAAATAAAAGAGAATAACTATTTTTGAGACAGGTTCCTCCTACGTAGTTTAGACTGTCATTAAGCTTACTCTGTAGACTAGGTTGGCCTTGAACTCAAGCAATCCTCTTGCCTCAGACTCCTGAGTGCTGGAATTATAGGTGTGCAACTCCACACAAAGCAAGAAGGGTCACTCTGGATAAAACTTTTTCAAAAAGAAACAGTTTTTGCTACAAAAATCACAATATCATCAGTGATTTCTTACACCGTTTTTAAAATAAAAATAAAACCTGGACAGAGATGTCACAAGGCTTTGAAAAACAACATAAAGGAGTGCAGTTACCAGTGGAAACATGGTGGTTCAGACTGCACTGTGAATAGAAACCGTGTCAAAGAGAAACAAGGAACACTTCATTAACTAGAGCATTAAAGGCACCTCCCAAGTCTCATTCCGGAACACTGGAACTTATTCTGTGCTCTACAGAGATCCTACCGTCCAATGCTAAAATAAACAAGGAGATACTTGAAGACATAAGGAAAAGTTGGGATTATGGGGCACTTCAAAGTAATGACACCAGGTAAGTTTTTTTGAGCCTAGGTCTCTCATTTGTAAATATTACCCATCCTTCCATTCTGGGCTCCTGAATCATACTCTGAGAACCTTAAGTGGAAAGAAAAAGTGGCCAGCCACTGACCCGATGAAGTTCTTTATAAGGACAACTAAAAAGCAATGTCATGCTCTCCTAAATAAGCACATGATTTTTTTGCTTTGTTTTTGAAGCAGGGTTTCACTGTGCAGTACAGGCTGGCCTAAAACTCACTATGTAGCCCAGGCTGGCCTCAAACTCCCAACAATTCTTCTGCCTCATCCTTCGAAGTGCTGAGATTATAGATGTGTACCACCACACCTGGTGCACAGGGGTATTTATACATATACCTGGACCCTGTTCCTTTCAAAAAAAGACTTCACATGAAATTGCGCATTTATCCCAAAAATGCTGCCACTGCACTAAAATAGACATTTTTCTGGCATTGCTTTGAGATAGCAATTCATTCTTCTGAATGTACACTAGTTGAATGTGGATATTCCTAACTTCAATTTGTTTTGCACACTGACAAAGATCTGAAGCAGCTTATAATTGGAGCAGTTATATATATGTGCATAAAGGAATTGTATGTCTTCCTTTAGTTGACTTCCTTGGAGGAAACATCTCTTTAAATATTTCTGCTTAAAAAAGAACACATAGCTTGGTATCTTATATTTTATAGTTAGGGAAGAGAGAAGTCAAACTCTTGTTATCAGGTTCCTTGCTTCTCGCCTTCACTATTTCTGACACAGATAATTTTGTGTACCTCTTTCTACTCCAATTCTGCTCCTTCATCACTAGACTGAGTTATGGTATTGGTCATTTCTCACAAAATGTGATCTACAGAATCATTTTAAACAAGGACTACCTACCCAGCAGCCCCAACACACAAGAATAGTGTTTCAATCTAGCTCTCATATTCAATAGCATCTGCCACAGCGGAAATCATGTTCACTTGAAACTACCTATCACTCTTTCACTAAATGACATGTACACACATTAAATAATGTGGGAATAATGGGCACTATTCACAGAATTCTAAGAATTACTTTTTAGTATATCCTATAAAACATTATTAAACTTGCACATTACTGGAGGAAAATTTACCCAGTTCTTTATGCTCAATAAGATTATGTCTTCATCAGCGAGATAACAAAAGGCAAATTATTATGAAACCGAGACTGCTAAAGCAGATATTAAGACAGTTTTGTTCCAATAATTATTTTAGTGATTAGAGATGTTCCCTTCTATTGCTCCAAATTTCACTTTTACTAACTAGCAAGAAATAATAGCTCACTGACTTCCCAAAAAGGGTTCCTGGCACTGGCAGCTCAGATATACCCATCCCATCTGAAACCTTACTGCTGAAGAAGAAATACGGGCTTATCCATTGAGGGTTTCCTCCATGTGGGCTTTAAACTAATCTTTGAAGTTACATCAATGTATTACAGTGTTCTTCCTCGACTAACTCAGAGCACCTGAGTAATACTGCTCAAAGAGCCCTTGGAGGGGCACAATCTCCATTAAAAGGCTTTTCTTTCTTCGCAACACCTACTTATTGTGCAACAAATGAAATCCTCTTAGAATTTTTGCTTTCGGAGCCCATAATCTACAACTCACAACAAGGATGTTCCTGAACCATCCTGGTCACACTTGCGGCCAGTTTTCATATTTTCTCGAAAGTTTATGGGAAAATGGGGTGGGAGGAACGAAGAGCGACATCGGACAGCAGATACATAAAATGAGAGCTCACACTGCAACTGGGCGGCTGATGTCCTTTCGACTTGTGGATAAATATATTACATGGCACTCATAGGATACTCACCTTGAGAATTTTTACAACCACTCTTTCGTTGTTAGTGATGTTAATGGCCTCAAATACTTCACTATATTTTCCCCGACCAAGTTTTCGAACCAGTTGGTAATCATCTTGATTACTGCGAAAGGAAAAAAACACATAAATGCCAGAATTTGGGATCACCAAACCTGCGCCTATTATACAACCCGTCCACTTCCACTATTCAACATTTGGTACTGTCTATATACATCATTCCACAAGTCATTCCCTAAATGAAAGCCACAACACAAACTTGGCTCCCTTCACTCTGCAGAGCTCCTAACCTAATTGATCCTTCCAAACTTGGAGAGATGGGGCCGGAAGCAGCACCCGGAGCCAATCTAGGGAAGGCCAGGGAAGGCTACACATCTCCTGCCTATCTCACACCATGAAGGCAGGCAGTACATGCTTCCAGAATCTGGACGTCTTTTAAAAAAAATTTCCTCCCACCCGGCCTCTTCTCAGAAAACTAAAAAGGCAGAGAATTTTAATAGCTCAAGAAGACAGCTGTTGACTTCCCACCCCAGAGAAACCCCGAAGTGTGAGGAAGGACGGTTCCCTCACTTCCCCAGGCTCAGGCTCCTCGCCCCGACACTTCGTCCAACCCCCCCTCCCCAATAAAAAGCATTCCTTGGGGAAGAGGAATGTGCAAAGCAGGTTCAGGAACCGAGCGGGGTAGAATGGAAGAGGAAGACAAGAACATGTGCGAGAGGGGCCTCTGCCTCCCACTACAAACCCAAGGGGCGCCGGCCACCGAGGAGGGCCGAGCCCGGGGGACGGGCGGCGGGGCGGGGGCGCGGGCGGCGGCTTTACCCCCAGCTCGGGACGTGAGACTCGTAGTCCCAGTACTCGCGGCTCCTCAGGCTGTTCACCTCGGCGTAGACCCGGGCCCTACTGCCCGCGGCCGGGCCGGGCATGGCGGGCGGGACCGAGGGGCACCGCGGGGCGCAGAGGGCGGCGCGGCGGGGGGC